CACAGCGTTAACGCACTGTGGGTAAGTCCAAAAAACCCGTTAGAATTAGCATCGATCGCGAAGAACTCGATCATTATGGTATGCATAGGAGGTTTTGAAGTCCAAAATTGTCCCAGGATTCAACCTCTGCACCAACCTAAATCAGTATGGAAGTTCATTGTAAGATGCATCCCATTCGCCATGAAGTTTTACAATGCCATTTTGTTTTGCCAACTAAGTTTTTTTTATAGGAGACAGTGTACCCATACTGCGATTGTATAGTTGAAATCATCACAGCAACAGCTATATGAGAGCTTGCTTTTACCATGGGCATGATGGCTTGACATATCACTTTAGAGTCCAAGTTGGTATGGTCTTGGTTGACCCTAGCATAATATGTGTGAGGATCGTTGTATACTGTTAGTTCCCATATGTTGTTTTTTATCTTCCTCTTCGATACGCGAACCATCCAATTGCATCCGTTTTCGCGTCAGGCATAATAGCATACATATTTTTCTATCGTGGAGCAATCGACTCTCGATTGAACATAATTACGGATATTATAATTTTTTATAGCCATCATCGCTTCTTCTTTGTATGAAAACTCCATGCCTGTACATTGCACCATAATCAGCTTCATACATGTGTGCTGGAGGGTCAGCTTGTGCCACATTTGAGGGAACTTCATCTACATCATCATCGGAGTTGAATTGCGGTGATTCTGGGTGAATGAATAGTCCAGTCTTAGCACCATCCGCACCAAGCTCACGAAGCGGTTCTTCTGGTGGAGATGATGGTTTCTCCATGCTATCCACATTTAGGTCGAAGAACCTACTACTTGCACGTTTTCCCCTTGAACTAGAAGGCATATCAACATTGAGATCGAAAAAGCTCGCAGTGGAATGCCTCCCCTGGAACTTGAAGCCATCGTGTTAAATGGAAACTGCACATATTTTTGCGTCGATGACATCTCCATATTAAGGTCAAAGAAATTTACAGATGAATGCCTTCCCCTTGAACTGGACACGATGTTGCCATACGGATTGTTCGTGGACCCATCTCGGTACATATCGTAAGGAGTTACGGATTAATGTCTCCCCATTGAAGTTGATGTGACGGAACCATGATGCGGATTTCTGATTATGGCGTTAAAATCATTATACATTACTGTAGTCGGGTTGTCAACTTGATCAACTTGTTCAGCCTGCCCATAGTGGGAGCTTAATGTCTGACCCCGAACAGCACACACTTGAACAACTTTGCATACATCTCAATACCGGCGTCTGAATAATTACTTTGAGAATCAGCCATCATTTCAACATCATCATTGTTCGATAGTTCGAACGCTGTATAAGTTAATGGAAACAATGATGTTGGAAATCTGTATTGCAATGACGATATTCTTCTACTACTTCCAACATGAACCTTCCTCGAAATCTCCGTTATCAGCTCCTCAAGAGTTATGTTTCTCTTGAATGATATTTTAACACGTTCATTTGATACGAAAACAACGCTGGTTTCATCTTCTCAAATTTCTCCATCATAATAAACAATAGCTGAAAGTCGCGTCATTCTTAGATTTTAAAAGTATGACAATATTATATATGTAAAAAAACAACTGAAACAAACCTGATTAAATAAATAATATATGAACGAAAATATAACACAATAAAATTTTTACACGTGAACGTAAATAATTAAAATAATATAATTTATATTATTACATGCACCGCAAAAATTTCGACGTATGCTCTCGCTTTCCAATTTTACAAACACAGAAATTAATTGAAAACAATTAGTATAATATTTTTTCAAATAATCATATATAATTATAAAAAAAATAATATAAAAAAATTACCTTATAACGAAAGATCGAACGAACTTCTGAATCAAATATAAGAGGATTTTCGGGTGTTATTTACTGGTTGAAAGGATTGTTGGTGAGAGAGTTTACGGGGAGAGAACTATTTATAGACGAGAGAGGATGCTTTAAAGCCGAGAAGTTCGGGTAAATTATACAAGGCACGGTCCCTACTCCGCACCTTGCATTATGTATGTCTGACAATTGAGCATGTGATAATTGAAAAGCACGGCCCCTGCACCGCGCTATAGGCCTACGTGGAGCAAGGCGCGCCCCAGGGGGCGCGCTATAGCCACGTGTATCCAACTCAGCATAACGCTGGGGGCGCGCCTTACTGCAAAGGGTGTTAGATCGGGAAAAATAGTCTGAAGGGTGCCTGAGGGAAATATATATATATAGTGATATATCGGGAAAAACGCCTAGGAAAACAGTAAGGTGGCGTTTGGTTCGTTGGAATGTTTATGAGGGAATTGGAATCTGTGAAGGAATTGTAATCTGAATTTGAAACTTGTTTGGTTGACAGTAAATTAAATTGTAATCCAATTCCATTTTTTTGTTTGGTTTGCAGACATGTCAGATGAATTTGATTTCAGTAATGTAAAATGACAGAATTGTCCTTCCTGTTTTTTTACTTAATTTTAGTTTGTTTTATAACTTACATGTAACAATATATTATAAAAATTTAAAAAATATTAAATTTTCCATTTTATTGATTGATTATTCATTTCAATAAATTATAAAAATCATACTAACAAACATCATAAGTTAAAATCATTCCAATTAGGTATGACCATGGGTCGGGTTGGGTCGGGTTTTTGGTCCACCCGACCCGACCCGAGAACAAGGAAACCTCCACCTGAGACCCGACTCGACCCGAATATATGAATTAGAAACCTGACCCGACCCAAAATAATAAAAACAATATTTTTATTCAATAAAAACAATGACTTAATTGAAAAAAACTATATATAGAGGGGTATTATTGTAATATTTCTAAATATATAAGGTAAAATTATATATTTTTTCGGGTCGGGTCGGATATTTTTCACCCTAAACCCGAATCCTACATATCACACTTAAAAAAACCGACCCGACCCGAACCCGAATTTTTTAAAAAAAACCCGACCCGAATAACACACTTAAAAAAACCGACACAACCCGATCCGAACCCGATTTTTTTTAAAACAAATCTGACCCGGTCCCAAATTTTTTTTTAAAAAATCCGACCCGAATATCAAAAGATTGATGAGGGTAGTATGGTCAAATTTCACTTTCCCTCCTCCAAATGATTTCAATTCTATCATATTATGGATGAAATTTACTTTCCCTCCCTTGATGAAATTGGATTTCAATTTCCCATTTGAAAACTTGAACCAAACATAGGAAAGTGGTGGAATTGGATTCCAATTCCCCCTAATTCCAAGGAATTCTAGCGAACCAAACGCCACATAAGGATGAATAATACAAATGATCATTATTGACATTTATTGTTTAAGTAAGATTTAGTTTTTTCTACTAAAATTTTAAAATTAATAGTGATCATTCATATTATCAATTTATAATAAATGAATCACTTATCGTTAATAGTTACGATCGTTAATAGTTATGATGGGATGGGACGGAATATTGATGTGGTTTGTTAACCATACTAACTTGAATCATTTTGTCATGCAAGATCATATGTTTGACTCCCTATACTGTTGATCGACGTTTTCATGTTGTAAAAAGTTCCAGCTTGCTGTCGAACAAGGTTATTTTACAGGCTGTGAGTAAGGTTTTTGTCTCCGACATGTGTACGAAGACTGGCCCATCTCTGTTCAGTTATCAGGGTATTTGTTTACACCAACGAACAAAAACCTAACAATGTGAAAGACTGGAGTAAGATTTTGAGAATGTTACAACCTCTAACTAATGCCTCCGAACAGGGTGAAAGACTGAAGAATGAAACAAAAAAAACACCCTAACTACTCTAACAATGGGCTTTTGGCCTATTTATAAATCATTAGTGCTTAGGTATTTTAGGTTTCATCATCTTCGTTCTTCTTCCATTACAGCATCTTCAGTTGATAAAACCATTAACCTTTTACAATCGAACAGAAAACTAAATATGCTGGACCAACTTAAAGTGAAGCATTAGGCCATTAAATTTTGGGTAAACTACATGGTTGACCATTAAATTATTGTTCATTTTCATTTTGATTATTGACATTTTGATTTGATCAATCAGATCATCTAATTATTTAAATGCTTCAATCAAGCCACTAGTCATTAATTTTTAACGGAGTTAGTGACCTTTCAATTAATAAAACTGACATATTTATATATTTGATTATTAATATTTACATATTGTAGACACACTTTTTTTACCACACATTTATATAAATTATTATTATTATTATTTTATTAATATTTTTATTGCACCCCATCTCCAACAAACCACCAACTCCACTACCCCACTATTATCTCAACCCACATCACATACCCACTAAACCACTATCACCACCTCGCACGTATGTTTGCTTCCTTTTCTCTCAAAAAAGGAAAGTGGGAATCTGGCCTTGACTTTAAATAATGTTTGGGGGCCACGTGAACGGGGGAGCCTCTGGTTTTTAAGCTTTCATTTTCTTTCCAGCAACCATTTTCAAAGGAAAAGAAAACTTGAATAAATGGGGCAAGCATCACGGCTTTACAGGGCATGTTCTTTCTCTCATCAATGGAGGATAATACCCAAAGAACTCAAATAGAGAAATCAACCAGCATTTTGAGAAGATCGATCTTCACTTTCCTTCAAAATTACCACTTCTTCACTCTAACACCTGCGCTTCTTGCTTTCCCTTACTCTGTTTAACTTCTTCTTTCGCATATATCTGTTCCATCTTCTTCTTTGCTTCAACCGATCCAGGCCCGCCTCGATGATCTTTTTCAAGCTTCTGGGTTCCCTTATTTATCAGATTTCTTCACGCTTCTCAGTTTAAAACTTTCCCAAACCATCTGTTTCTCCGTTTTCACATTTCCTTTCACGTTCTCTTTCTTCCTCGTTGCCAAGACCAACGTTATCGAACTCTGTTTCCGCCATGGGAGAACCTCGAAGAAACCTTGGTTGTTTTCATCGGTTCTTTCACTCTACAATCCCCTCCTCGAAACCCAAATTTGTAATTACATGTTGATCATTTCGACGAATGCGACGTCTCTCTCCGTTTTGTTCTTCGGGTTCAATTTGATCAATGGGTTAGGATGGTCTTCCCCCGGTTGGCTTCATTTATTGTCGGCTTTCGTGGTTGTTTTCTACTCTCTGGTTCTGGCGAATGCTTTCGTGATTTCAAACATCGCATCGGTTTCATCGGGAACGGACAAATCTGGTGGATATGAGTCGATTCTAAAAGCTTGTGTCGTCATCAGAGAAAGAACCTCGACTACTTTATCGTTGGCTTTGCCTTGGAATCTCGCACTGGCGGGCATTGAAGCTCTGTTGCATTATCGGGTCGTGAGAGCTTACGGCAGTGATGATTTCAGCTGGTTCTCGATGGCTACGGAAGGGATTTTGACAGCTTACTTACCTCATTCTGATTCTGCAAATCCAGCCAAGGAAAAGAGAATGTAATTTTTTGTTTCCTCGTACTCATCTATCAAAATTGTAGGTGGTATAATATTGGGCATTTTTTAATTGAGACTGCTTTTACAAATGAGGGATATTGTATCTGGACTGTGGTTTATCATGAATAAATCATGGGTGTTTTATTGGTATCGATTGGGGACAATGGATTCTGTCGAGCATTCACATGATCACTTTGAATAGAAGTTAAATGGTATAGGATTGATGTGAGTTGAGAACGGAGGATGGATTGCATTAAGTTCTCAAATAAATGGGCTTTATGTGGTTAATTTATTAATTCCTAGAATATTGTAATGTTCGTTACAGTCAGAATCATTTTATGCAATCATGCTTGTCATAACCATTTTTTTATAAAACTATTTATGTTTATTTTAAAAAACAATTATGACTTTTATTTTGAAAAATTGAGTATTTTGGATTAATTTGGATTAAATTGAATAGAGTTGAAAAGAGTCGCCATCGACCTTTGGGTTAGGTAGGTCAAATACCTAAAACGTCTTTTAAAAACAATTTTTAAGAAAAAATAATTTTATAAGACAAAAATTTGGTCTACGTTACCAAAGATTCATTTAAAATAGGTTCGGGAGTCGGTTACGTGTGGGAAAGGGTAAACACCCCCACAACGCCCAAGATTGGTACTGTGTAGCTTACACATTGTTGTAAATGGTGGAAATTACAATTTGAATATGAAGTAAAAATATGATCTATTTATTGAATATTAGTTAAAATAATAGAAATACTTTACTTGGTAAGAAATCTCGAGATTTGCAATCCTCCAACGGGAAAGCTATCTCATCCATTTCTCATCTATAAAGTATATCCTATCTTTGAATTACCACTAAATAATATCATCATGAGTAGAAAATAAAATATGCTTAATTTATGTATCGTTAATATTAACATAACAACCATTAATACAATAAAAATTATGAAAATAGAATAATAAATAAGTTATGATCTGTTTATTGAATGTTAGTTAAAATAAATAAAAATAAATAAATAAAAATCCTTTGCTCGATAAGAAATCCCGAGATTTGCAATCCTCCGCCGGGAAAGCTACCTCGTCTATTTCTTACTTGTAAAGAATATTTTCTCTTTAAATAAAAAAAATGACGAAAATTGACATAAAATGCATCATACTATACTTTTCCAAAACATACATCACTCATATTAAGATTCAATGAAGAAATAATAATAAAGATTAAAATTTAAATATTAAACAATATGAACATCAAATAAATTAATCAAAAAAAATAAAAAATAAAATAAAATAACAATAACAATAAAAATAATTTCTATAAGCTTGTAAAAGGAAGAATTTGCATTTTTTATTATGTTTGAACGTCGTATCGGATTGTACCACTTCGATCAAGTGATACTTTCCACGCCCGTTTTATAATTTCATGTTCTTGAAAAATATTTGAATGAAATTAACAACTAAGGAAATAAAATAGAAACAAATATGATTGCAAATGACAAATAAAATATTTACAATATTAAATAAGAACATTTACTATACATGTATAAAGGATTGAAAAGCAAACAATTAAATATTACAAACCAAACTAAAATACCAAAATAAATCATTTAGGGCAATAAAATGTAATTAACGGAAATTAAAAGAGTTAAAATGACAAAAAATATTAGGGACTAAACTGCAAAAATACAGGAAATTAAAGAACCAAAATAGATATAATCGAAACTTTAGAAACCAAAATGAAAAAAAAATGAATTTTGGGAACTAGAACAGTAAAAACAGAATCTTCAAGGGCTAAACAGCAATTACAAAACAAACAGAACCCAAATATAAAACATTAAAATACAAATACTAGAAACCAAAATAACTCAACAATTATTAAGGACTAAAATAAAATGAAAGTAAAACAAGCAAGCCATATTCAGCATTTAACCCAATATAAAAGTAGTGATCAAAATGCATTCAGAATCAAAATACATGGATTATAAACATGAATAAAACATGTATTTCTTTTACATAGTAAATAGTGACTAAAATGAACCAACAATAAACTATACTGCACATGTATAAATAAATTAAAGTTTGATGGCTGAAGCACCAATATAACCACAAAAATATTTAATAGCAAATAATGACGAAAATGTAACAAAAATAAAATAAAAGCTCCAAATGAAATGATGAAATTTCATTAAAGTGGTAAGATTACAACCATTACACAAGCTACAGGGACCTTAACTGTGGTTTACCCATAAATGCTAAGAGCACACATGCAAGATTACAGAGATAAGGGGACCAAATAAGCTATTAGCCCTTAATCCCATCACTCGGCCTCCCCTGTCTCAGAACGACGTCGTTTGACGTCTGAGATATACCCTTTAAGGGTTATTATCAAACCCTAAAATCATTTTATAACTCCCCCTCATCAGCCGTTTCACTCTTTCTTCTCTCCCTTCTCATATCTTCATCTTCCTTCGCCCAAAAAACAGAGGCCCTAACTTCCCGGCCACCGTAGAACGGTGGCCACGGGGAGTAACCCAAACCCAGAGAAAGCTCTTTACCCTTAGATCTACCCACTACACTGACCTAATACCCAGATAAACCCTTTGAGTTCGAACCCAACAAGCCCCAAAAAAAAAAGACAAGTTTCTTTTACCTTCGGTGAGGGGCGCTTGGCTCCGATGAAGCAATGGTGGTGATCAAAAAACCAGGGTAAGATTCTTACTCTATCTTTCTTTTTTTCGAATGGATGTTTTCTTTCTCTCCTTTTTTTTTCTGTTTTTTTCTGTTTTGAATCCTTTTTTCTTTTTCGTTTCTTTTTTCTGTTCTTTTTATCCTTGCTTGCCTCCGGATTTCTGGTGAGATGATGATGATATCTAGGAAAAATAGGGGATGGGTCTTACTGACTTGGTGGGATCGAAATCCCGAAAACTTAGGGATTTATTGGTATTTAAATTTGGAATCTAGATTTTGTGAGATTTGAACCGTATATAATATTTTCTTGATTGGTTTTGCTGTAGATGACAATAGTGCAACAGTTGGGGTCAGACCGGAACAGTGATGGTGGCGGCACTGAGGCAGAGAAGGGTCACACGGCGGCTGGAACTCCAAACAGAAGCGGCGGCTGAGTAGGGAATTAGGGTTTGAAACCCTAATCTGATTTAGGGTTTGAAACCCTAATTTGATTTAGGGTTTGAAACCCTAATCTGATTTAGGGTTTGAAACCCTAATCTGCTAGGTTGGGGTCTGGGTTAGCAGTGGGCTTCTGGTCTCTGGCTAATTGGGCTTCGGGTTGTTGGGCTCCGGGATTGGGCCTTTGTAATCTGAATTGGGCTTCTAAGCCTGCAAAAAAAAATGTAATATGTAAAATTAATAATAATAATAATAATTAATAATAATTAAAAATAAAAAAATAAATATAAAAGACCCGGACAAAAACGAGTGTCCACAGCTGCCCCTCTTTGCACATACTTGTGTTAACAAGAACAGTGCAAAGACGACAAGCCAACACGTTTTTGTCTGGTTCTCCCTTTCAATCTTAGAAATTGAATAATGTTGGTTGTTGGGGACGCCACTGCTCATACGTGATGAAGAGTTCGGGTCGTCTAAGGGAAACACGATTCCTACGTGATGAAGAAATCTGGTCCAGGGATGACACGGCTCATACGCGATGAAGAGTTCTGGTCATGTTTAAGAAGGGTGATAACTCGGTTCCTACGTGATGAGGACGGCTGATTATCTAAGGTTGACACGGCTCCTACGTGATGAGGAAGTCTGGTCGTCTAAGGGTAGATGACATGGTTCATACATGATGAAGAACTCTGGCCATCGTTAGGAAGGGTGATAACTTGGTTCCTACGTGATGAGGACGGCTGGTTATCCTAATGTTGACACTCTCCTACGTGATGAGGAGATCTGGTCAGTTGATGTTGACTGATTCATTGCTTCAATAATGAAATAAGTCCTGAAGATCCTGTAAAAATGGTCATATGCCATGATTTCATGTTATCAATATGCTCTTAAGAATGATCTAAATGCGTGTTTAAAGGGTTATGTTCAGTTCGATCCTGGCGTTGAGAATCTCTCATACTCTTTGATCGAAACATGCGATATTTAGGCGTTTGTCCATGCCTGGTTACTTCCTTGACCTCTCATTAAATATTCTTTGACTTGGTCCTTCTGATCTACCCCGAGAGAGTTTATCTTGCCTCTTTGATTCCTTGGTCATTGATTGATTTTTCAGAGAAAATTCATTCAGAATGGCCTCTCTTTGTTGCATGCCTTTAAATTGAGACTTCTTTGCTTGGGAAAAGTATGATTATGTTGAAACTGATTTCTTTAATTTAAACCCTCTTTTTTCTCAATGATTTGTTTAATGATTGATGGGAGCGTGCCTTTGTATGTGTTCTCTGGCGAACACCTGTTTCAAAATCCCCATAATCTGACACTTTTCAGAGTAAAGCATAGTAACCGATGTTGTTATTGATTAGTAATTTGGTGAATATCTGCGAGGACATTGAATCAAATTCAAAAATTTCACTGAAGATAGATAATGAGAAAGTACAATCTTTTCGGACAAGAAAACAAGTATATACAAAGGAAAAACAATGGACAAATATAGTGAATATCAAATGCTGAGTCTTTCTATTTCTTCACCCCAAATATTTCTCGAAAGTTGACATGTGTTCCAAAGATTCAGATCGTACAAAAGATGTGTGAGCATGAGAGTCTTTCCCTAAACTGTTAGGCCTCCAAGGGAATCCACCATTTCAATTTCTGATTATTCGAGCCGTCCATTACAGATTTTCAACTCGAATCCTCCTTTGGTTTCAAGATGCCCATTTTGGGTTTTCATCTTGAACCCTCCTTTATTTATTTTTTCTTCTTTTCATTTTTCATTTTTTCATTTTTTTTAAGTGTAATATCGCTTGACCGAATCTGAATTCACGGGATTAGACAAATCTTCTCCATCCATTTCTGTTAACACCAAAGCTCCTCCTGAGAATGCCTTTTT